ACAAGACAGCTGTTTGAATTTGGAGTTGTCTCCCCTAGATGAGTGGCTGTCTAGCCTCACCTGTCCGGTGATTCGAACTCTGGACTGTTCGGCTAAGCAACCATGAGCTTAACCAACCCGACCAGACATTGTCTTGTATCAGAATGAGCGACTTTGGAAAGGTAGACCAAACTCGGATTTTCACCCAACAACAATCAACTATACTTTTGACTTAACGGCCACCGCGTGTTTGAAAGCTTAATTACACGAGCCAAAATAGTCATATTAGTCATAGTTAAAGGACTTGTCTAACGTTTGGGGAAAGTTATGTTGTTATCTATCAAAGATTAGATCGCCACCTGATCTTTCTCATTGTACAGTCGTCTACACGCATTTACATAACTAACTCAAGTGTTGCTCTCGCTGATATGTATATAATAAATATATATATGGGCCATATATGTAGGTTAAATATATATAGGCTACAAATATATTTTATAATATTATATTATATATATATTTAAATATATATGTATATATATATAAATATATATATATATATATATATATATATATATATATATATATATATATATATATATATATATATATATATATATATATATATATATATATATATATATAAATTTATATATATATATATGTGTAAGTATATATATGTATATATATATATATATATATATATATATATATATATATATAAATATATATATATATATATATATATATATATATATATATATATATACATTAATATATATTATATATATATGTAAGTATAAATATACATATATGTGTAAGTATATATATATATATATATATATGTTAGTGTATCAACATATAAATATATATATATATATATATATATATATATATATATATATATATATATATGTTAGTGTATATATATATATACGTATATATAGCCTATATATATATATATATATATATATATATATATATAAATTATACTTCAACAGATAAACGTAGAAATACAATTATAAAATTGTTATGAGAATTACGACGAAGTCCATCTTTTAAAAACACAATTTTTTGTTAAAATTCTTAATGACCGTCGCTGTGTAAAGTAATAGCTCTTGTTGCATCCAAATCTCACTTAAATTTACTGCTTAACTACGTTCTGCTGCAACCCCCCACCCCCCCCCCCCCCCCCCCAACCCCACCCCCAACGAGTGTTAGCTCCTTGCTTGTGGTAAATCTATCTTGCGTTACAAAAAGAGAAGAAACAGCGCAACACTGACGGTATAAGATCAACATTGTTATTTTTTTTTTATCCAGGGGAGATAAATCATTATCTCCCCTTTGTGTTGCTGGTTTTTGTTACGCCAACGCAAGCGGATTTTTTTTTTTGTGTCCCTTAGCTTGACGATTTATAAAGGAAACTTCCCCACGCAATAGTAGGACCAGCTGTTTCAATATGATAACTCTGGCTAAACTTGCACATGTATTGTCCGTCGCCGTACGCACACAAAGAAAGCTCATATAAAATAAGCGCTTTTGAATTACAATAAATAAAGCGATATCGATTTATTTGTATAGTGTTTGAATAGAAAATAGTTATATATATATATATATATATATATATATATATATATATATATATATATATATATATATATATATATATATATATATATATATATATATATATATATATATATTTATACATATATATATATAGGCTTCCTGTGTGTGTCTGTGTGCGCATTAGCGAATATATGTGTTTGTGTTTGTCTTTACGTCTGTACGTGTGTATATTCATTACTGTATGTATGTGTATGTGTGTGTTTTTGTGTCTTTATTGATGTACTTCTTCTTCCGACGGGCAAATCACAGTTCTATCCCCAAACAACAAAAAAATTATCGATCTTTCGATCAGTTCGATTTGTGAAATCATCCTTCGCCCTTATCCGATTACAAACATGTTATTGAATTGATTGAAGTCGGTGGCGTTTTAAACAATGGTTTTGATTTCCTAAACGAAATAACTTTAGAGCGGTTTAATTCCGTTTCGGATAGTTAGAAAAAAAAGTCTCCATTTTTTAACGGTACGCCAACTTTATCCTGCAAACACACACATACAACACACACATACACAACAACACACATCTCATACACACATATATAGGACCTACACACATACAACACACAAACACGCATCTCAAACACATATATATATATACACACATACACAAAAACACACACACACAGTCATATACAAACACACTCATGTGTCCCATGTCCCAGTTCCCATCTCCCATCTCCCATGTCCCATGTCCCATGTCCCATGTCCCATCTCCCATGTCCCATCTCCCATGTCCCATCTCCCATGTCCCATGTCCCATGTCCCATGTCCCATGTCCCATGTCCCATGTCCCATGTCCCATGTCCCATCTCCCATCTCCCATGTCCCATGTCCCATGTTCCATGTCCCATGTCCCATGTCCCATGTCCCATCTCCCATGTCCCATGTCCCATGTCCCATGTCCCATCTCCCATCTCCCATGTCCCATCTCCCATCTCCCATGTCACATGTCACGCGCACGTGACCCCGCTCTCCCTGATTGGCTGTCACTGACTAGTGGTCACCTGGCCCAGTTATCTCCCCTACTTACGTCATCACTGAATACTACGTGCAAAATACGCTCGGATTTCAGGTAAAGGTCACGATAATTGTCTGCTTGTTTCAGGCCTTTCTCAAGGTGTGTGCGGAGGGGGGGGGGGGGATGACGACGACACACTCACGCAGCACTTCCTTCGCCCTCCCCGCCCAACTCAGAGGTTTCAAACACACACACCCCTACCTCTCCACCCTTCTTTTTTGTCCGAAAAGAATACTTCAACAATGGCTGAAAAGAAACAGGTATATTTTAACCAACCAATTTTCTCAAACAACAGCATCACACACAAACAAACACACACACACACAGACACACAAACGCACACACTGATATCACAATAAATTTTAAGAGTGTCTGATGTTAGTTAACCCCCACCCCCACCCATCTATACACTCCACACACACACACACTCTACTATTACACCCATATATTCACACCCATAAACACACACACACACTCTACTATCACATTAAACTCCTTAATAACTACAATTTCTACAATAACTAACTGCTCAAATAACTAACTGCCCCAATAACTAACTGACCCAATAACTAACTGCCCGAATAACTAACTTCCCCAATAACTAACTGCTCAAATAACTAACTGCCCGAATAACTAACTGCCGCGATAACGAACTGCCCGAATAACTAACTGCCCGAATAACTAACTGCCCGAATAACTAACTGCCGCGATAACGAACTGCCCGAATAACTAACTGCCCGAATAACTAACTGCCCGAATAACTAACTTCCCCAATAACTAACTGCTCAAATAACTAACTGACCCAATAACTAACTTCCCCAATAACTAACTGCCCGAATAACTAACTTCCCCAATAACTAACTGCTCAAATAACTAACTGACCCAATAACTAACTGACCCAATAACTAACTGCCCCAATAACTAACTGCCCCAATAACTAACTCCCCGAATAACTAACTGCCCCAATAACTAACTGTCCCAATAACTAACTGTCCCAATAACTAATTGCCCAATAACTAACTGCCCCAATAACTAACTGCCCGAATAACAAACTGCCCCGATAACTAACTGCCCGAATAACTAACTGCCCCAATAACTAACTGCCCCAATAACTAACTGCCCCAATAACTAACTGCCCCAATAACTAACTGCCCCAATAACTAGCTGCCCCAATAACTAACTGTCCCAATAACTAACTGCCCGAATAACTAACTACCTCAAAAAACAAATCAAAACGAAATCGTATTGATTTATCGAATTACGTGAATCTTGCCCAACCAGATTCCATAGTTTCCCCACAGCAAAGCTACACGTAAACAAAGTTTTTACAATGTGACCCCTCCCCCACTAACCCTGACAGAACAAAAACTTTATGGTTTAATTATGTGTACAACTCAGGCTTTGTTGTTTTGTGTTTCATTTAGTCCCGTTCTGGTCGATTGGACAAAAGACATGGTTGTATAATTGGATCTATTCCATCTTTCCTTCCCCCACCATTCATCATTCATCCCCAATTTCCACACACACTCACGCAGGTAAACACTCATACACACTCTCACACATACACACAGTCATATACACACTTCACACAATGACACTCACTTATACACACGTAAACACACTCTCACACACTCATACATCCACTGCACACACACTCTAACATTCACCATTTGTGTACACTCACACACTTACATGCACACTTCACACTCACTCTAACACTCACAGTTACACTCACGCTCACATTCTCTCCCTCTCTCTCACACACACACGCACATAATTTACGTCTTAAACTTTTGTGGCCTGATCTCTCGTGAACTAGGATGATCTGATAATTCTACATGCAACAGCGATTGTTCTAGATTGGAGCTTGCCGGTGTGATGTTCAATTATTCATACCCTCTCTATTACCGTCTGCAAGCAGCAGAACTTTACTGAGATGAAGCTGTTGAGCTGTTGGGTTATTCAGCTGTTCAGATGAAGTAGAGTGCGTATGTTTCTAGGGTGGACTCAGGGACGTTCTACTGACTTCGACATGGATTCGAACTTCAGACTCGGGTTAGCAGTCTACACTCTACTGCTTAGGCCACGCAGTCCCAGGAACTATTGTCTACGATGACCACTCATGTGGAACGACAGATTCCTGGCATGCAGATCAACTACTTAACCCGACCCCTGTCAAAGAAGCGCTCGTCCATAACTCGTCAGATCTGTATGGCACTACCACGGGTGGGTGACGCCGTGGATCCACACCGCGAAATGTGGGACACACAACATGCCGCGCTCAGACGCGTTGTGACGGCGTGAAACTCACCCAACCGTGACGCAAAACCGCGGTACGCGCCAGGCTGGGGACTGGCCGTTTAGTCGACGGTGTAACGGATATCTGGGTGTGTTGTTTTTATGGTTGTTGTGTTTTTTTTGACGGGTTACTTGGAGCCGAAAAGTTTATCCAAACGATGTACTGTTAATGATACCACGTGAACAAAAAATAAAATTGTGCGTTCTTTTTTTAAAACTGGAAAATTTTAAATCACTGCTATTTAGGTGAGTAATTAACATGTAAGACAATACATATTAATATTGTAATTGTATATACGTTTTGGGTGTGTGTAGGGGGGGTATGTTTTCATTTCCTACATTCCATCCATCGGATATAAGGTAGCGTGGAACATGTTTTTAGCGTGGAACATGTTTTTTTAAGCGTGGAACATGTTTTTAGCGTGGAGCATGTTTTTGGCGTGGAATATGTTTTTAGCGTGGAATATGTTTTTTTAGTGTAAGTAAAGTAGGTGAAAAATGCTCATTAGACCTTTCGATCCATTGTAAAATACTAATTATATAATTATATGACTTTTAGAACACCGCGCGCACTAAATACATGGGCTAGTCTACCGACCCGAAAGTCTCGAGTTCGAATCCGGGTCCAAGTCAGTAGAACATCTCTGAGTCCACCCAGCACTAATGGGTACCTAACTCATGCTAGGGAATGTAAAGGCGGCTAGGCAAAGTGCTGACCACACCTTCATCACATATACCGCGGTCAAGATTCAAATGAAGTTTACTTCATTTACCCAAAGGATCGCTAGGTGTAAAGAGGATTCTTTACAAACCCATGCTGCGCACTTTACGTAAACTTTAACATTCCAAGCTCCGTTCAAATTCTGAATTCTTCTCGTGGTAATTTGACCCCCGAGATAGTCTTACTATCTTCTTCCAGTTCTTCAAGAAGTCACGATCTATATAAGCCCCTAAAGTAAAGTAATGTATTTACTTTAGGTATGAAAAAACTAGCGACGCCGGGAAAATATATTTGGTCGGTCCAAATGTTAATCCTAAGCTGATGAATCTTTTTCTGAATATTGTTGATCAAAAAGATAACTTTTTTTTTGTTTGCATACTTTCGCGGTAGAATTTTTAAGGGTTGATGGTGGTAGGTGATGGTTAGGTTAGTTTACCTCAGAGGCGTAGCGAGGGGGGGGGGGGCGGATGTGCGGACAGCACCGGGTGACACCATTTAGGCAAAAAATAGCAAAATATACAGAGAAAAACTTGAGGGGGGGGGGGGTGCAAATCGAAAATCTGAAAGTTTGTCCCCGGGAAGGGTCGCTGCGCCTCTGGGGGGGGGGGGGGGTGACACCATTAAGTTCCGCACCGGGTGACACCTGACCTCGCTACGCCACTGGTTTACCTACAGTATACTGACAGTTTACTGACAGCTAACTGACAGTTTACTGACAGTTTACTGACAGTTTACTGATAGTTTACTGATAAAAATGTATTACAACTGCATTGACGGTGTTTTATATGCATTTTTTTTTAAAGTTGACTTGAAGGTCCATGAGTCAGATGAAGTAGAGTTTATCTGTTTCTTTGACCTCGGCATATTAAAAGATTGTTTGGTCTGCACAGCTGGGTAGACTCGATCCTCAGACTCGAACTCAAGACTTTCGGGTTGGTAATTAATTTATCTACCATTTGACCTGGGCGTCATGTTTTTATTTTTTTTTCTCGAGTTTGGGTTTAAGTCAGCAAAAGGTCCCCTAATCCACCCAGCTCTGATCATAGTTTCTCCAGGGAATCTCTGTCGAAGAAAGTTCACCCACCCCCCTTCTAACAAATTGGAATAGATATAGAAATTATATACTTTTACAAGTGTCTGCCCAACTCCCCCCTAAAAATTTAGTCCCCCCCCCCCCCCCCGAATATATCAAGTGCCCCCCCCCACCACCCCCCGAGAAAAAATATGAAAGAAACACTGGCTCTGATGGGTACATAACTCACATTAGGAAAAGTAAAGGCGGCTGGGCATAGTGCTGACCACACTGTCCTACATATGCCGAGGTCACAGGTACAGGTCAACTATAATTTACCGTCATTTTTCTAAAGGGACGGAGTGGTCTAGCGGTAGAGAGCTGGACTGCTAACCCGTTAGTCTCGAGTTCGGATCCGGGTTCAAGTCAGTAGACCGTGCCTGAGTCCACCCAACTCTGATGGGTACCTAACTCATGTTAGGGAAAGTAAAGGCGGCTGGGCATAGTGCTGACCACACTATCTCTTCATATGCCAAGGTCACAGAAACAAGTGAACTCTACTTCACTAGCCCCATAGGCCGTCAGGTTTGAAAGGGAAAGTTTACTTTACTTCTAAAGGGAACTTTACCGTTTTAGTAGGTTAAGATAAGCATCCTAATTTTTACAAAAAAATTTACTGGAGTCATAAAATGTGTATATCGACCTGTCTTTCAGTTTATGCTTGAAGTTTTCAATTAATTCTCCCCGATTCTAATGCAGTGGTTTATTGCCAATTTTGCAAAGCTTCTTTTTTCAATAGCAACGTAGGAATATCTAATTTTTGATCAAACTAAATAATTAATTAGCCACTTAGTTCATTTAAAAATTAATAACTTCGCTTACAAAAGTAAAGATAACTAGGTGGATTGAATACTTAATCAATCAGTGGGTTGATGTTTACGACAAATGTTAACAAACTCAGTGGCGTAGGCAGGGGGGGGGGGGGGTTGGGGCGGTTACAACCCCCCCCCCCCCCCATAGACCCATCTGTATATATATATATATATATATATATATATATATATATATATATATATATATATATATATATATATATATATATATATATATATATATATATATATATATATATATATATATATAATGCTGGAAAAATTTGACCCCCCCCCCATGAGACGATCCTGGCTACGCCACTGAACAAACTGTTCAGACGAGATTTATAAATGACAGATTATTCTTCTGTTATTTTGTACGTGAGTACATTTAATCGATTGAGCATAAAGCATAAAACATTTTTGATAGTGTATCGGCTCAGCTACGATTGCTAACTCAAAAGTCCCGAGTTCGCACCCCAGGTAGATGAGGCCCTGGGGACAGCAACCCATCTAGAAGAGTAAACAGATGAGGCTCGTTAGCTGGGGACATCCACTCTTCTAGGAGAGACAACTCCAAAATCAAACAACTGCTGCCTTATAGTTTGTTCGTGGTTGGACAAAGGCTATGGAGACAAATCCAAAAACATGTTGAACTTAATACTTAATCGTATTGGAGGAGATCCCCTTTGATTTTATATTTAAGAACGAAGAAATAGAAATTAAATTATTAAAATTTTACAGTAATTCCAAAAGCAATTATATATTTATACTTCATTTTAAATTTTTTAGTAGTTATTGTTGTTGTTCGGCAGCATTTTAGACCCATACAACTGATAGTAATGAGTTGAGCAGATTGAATTTTAGGATCAGACATAAACAGACAAAAAACAATTTTTCGTCTGGAATATTTCGTTTGGGTGGGTCTTTCAAATTATAATCTTCGCGATGTTTACTTGGTGTAAAAACCCTAGTTGCCATACGATTTCGTCAATATTTTAATTCTAAATCCATGTTGTTAAGGATATAGTCAAAGAATTAAGAACAAGGCTTTAGCATGGTTTGACATACAATTTAAAATAGAGTGGTTTTATTTATTTATAATTTAATGATATAAATGTAACGTTTTCAATATATATATATATATATATATATATATATATATATATATATATATATATATATATATATATATATATATATATATATATATATATATATATATATATATAGTGAAATTGTAATTCGAAAAGAAAATGTATTAAACATTTATTAATTTAAAAAAAAGAAAAAAAAGAATGTAGGCTTGGTCCCATCTGATCAACAAAATCCCCGTCAACTTAGTCCAGGTATGGATTTGAGCTGATTGTGCTCTGTTTGCGTCTAAAAGTAAAACACAAACCGAAAACCTTTTAAGGTTAATATTTAGAGCACCAATTGTTATACATTGTCGGCTTCCAACGTCTTCCGGTAATTAGGATGACCTTGGGGTGTCTATTTTTATTCTAGGAAGCGCTGAGCGATGACAGTAATAGGTTAAGTACTTCCGGTCTTGGACATGATTGGACGTGACAATACCACGTGACTAGAACAAGCAGACAACAGTATTGTCAAGGTCTGTGGTCGGAGCGTTTGAGGGATTTTTGTCTCACTAGTCACACCAGGGGGTCGGGGATCACTTGACTGTAGGGACGATATTGGACCCGGAGGACTCAGGGGGAAGGGTGTTGAGTTTCGAATATGATATGGTATTTATTTTGAGATTGTTACAAATAGAACTTAAAGCAAAACATGGGCTAGTTAGCATTACAATTTTTTTGGGGGGTTGGGGGAGGGGAGGGAGGGGGTTGTTAATTTTGGAGTGAAGTCACTTTAGAGAAGTAGGTTGCAATAGGCGGGTAAGGGCAAAAATTGACTAAAATAAAGAGAAAAACTTGGCTAAAATAAAGAGAAAAAATTGGCTAAAATAAAAAGCAAAAATGGGCTAAAATAAAGAGAAAAAAATTGACAAAAATAAAGAAGAAAAAATTTGACTAAAATAAAGAGAAAAAATGGGCTAAAATAAAGAGCAAAAATGGGCTAAATAAAGAGATAAAAATTGGCTAAAACAAAAAGCGAAACCGGGCTAAAATAAAGAGCTAAAATGGGCTAAAATAAAGTTGCATTGGTAAATGAATACACCACCAGATGATGTGACTTCGCCCAACACAATTACGACGGCGCCCCGCCCTCAGTGACGAAGAGACGCCCCCACCCCTAAATCAGAGAATAGAATTCCACAGAAATAATCCTTGAGGGGTGGGGGGGGGGGGGTTCTAATGGTCAAAGCCAAAATAGTTACACTCTAAACTCGATTGTTTTTGGTAGTTGCTGCGATGATCTATTAGATCCCAGTCACAATATTTCTAGCTGTTCTCTATTTATCTATCTTTAAAAAAAAAAACTACATTTTTGAAAAATATAAAATACAATTTAAAATAGGGGGATGAGCTTTCATTCAATTTTAGAATTTTTACATTGCTAAACAAATTTCTTCGAACATCCCCTTATAGGCTTTGGTATCTAATGAATGTAAATAAATAAATAATATTTGAGGCTCAATTATTGCTCGTATGAAAATGACCGCGTGTGAGGATTCATGTTTTCTCAGTGACTTCTCGTTCATTAAGTGAAGCAGTGGCGTAGGCAGGGGGGGGGGGGGTTAGGGGGTCATACCCCCCCCCCATAGACCCCTGGGTATATATATAAAAAGTATGAGGGGGAGGGTGCAAATCGAAAGTTTGAGGTGGGGGGGGGGGTGCAAATCGAAAGTTTGAGGGGGGGGGGTGCAAATCGAAAGTTTGTCCCCGGGTAAAAATTGGATCCCCCCCCCCCCCTTGAGACGATCCTGGCTACGCTACTGACGTGAAGCGTCACGTTTCACTTCTCCTTGCTTGTCGTGTTCATTACAGAGTTGTCAACAATGTTTGTTGACATTGCTCAAGGTCCTGTTGTACTTTTTTATTGAAACTTGTTCACGGTGTGAAAGACAAATAAAAACTTTAACCGGCAACTAATCGATTCCCAAGGTGTATACCCAGAGGCGTATTGAGGGCGGGGCTGGGGGAGCGGACCGCACCGGGTGACACCATTTAGAGGGGTGACACAATGGCAAAAAAAAAATTCAAAATGTACAGAAGAAAAATGCTTTTTGCCTTTTCTATTAATTATAGTTAAATAGTCTTTTAAGTAAAAATGGACAATTATTACAAGAGTGTGGGGGTGACACTATGACGTAAACGTGCTAGTTATAGAGAAAACAATGCTATATCCAACTGTATTATTAACAGACTATAGATAAACATCATTACTTCTAAATCTGCAGTGTTTAAAGCTTATACACATCATGTATGCGTATCGGCATGCTATGTAGGTTCACACACGCACACATACACACACAAACACACACACACACACACACACACACACACACACACACACATATATATATATATATATATATATATATATATATATATATATATATATATATATACTTTGTTTCTTGGGGGGGGGGGGGGGGGCTGACACCACGAAGTGCCGCACTGTGTGTACCCTCCTTCCAGCAAGCGTTGTTTTGCTATGGATCTAGTACAATATCAAATTAATGCATGTTTTTTTTTCTTTACATATTTACATAAGCTCTATTTTTATAAATAGTTCACAATGCACAGAATCACACCCGCATTACTCAGTATCTCCACCAAGCAGATATTTGTTTTATTTACATACAAGTATTTCCGGGTCTACTTACAGGGATTAGAACTAAGTAGAGCGTATCATATTTTTGTAAAATGTGTACAATGTTTGCCTGGTGTACACATCCTGCTCGTCATAAGACACCGTTGTTTATCGTTTGGGTGTGTACACTTAAAGTACATAAAAACAGTGCACACTCAATTTAGGGGTTTTTAAAAATTATTCAGCTAAATATTTTTCGGGAAGTAAATCTATCTATATATATAATTCTCTTCTTCGAGCCGTTAGAAAAAAAGCTGCAAACGCTCTCCCTACCTCCCCACCCCTACATGGTTTTAGTGAGCTGTGTTCACTCTAAATGTTTACAAGCAGAGCCAACGATTTTAAACGTAGGGGGGGGGGAGGAGGGGGGGGGGGAGGGAAGGAAGGGGGGGGGGTTATGGTCCTTAACGAGCTACTTATAGTGTTTTAAAGAAATATTTTCAGTGTCAGCGTTGGTACTGTCGAATTCACAAATTATGAATTATTGAAAATTAGAAACAACTAAATAGCGGCGTATGTTATGCCGCGGGCCGGCTCGTATATATATAATTCTCTTCTGGGAGACGCTAGAAAACAAGCTGTAAGAGCGCACCCTACCACCCCACTCCTACATGGTCTGGTGAGCTGTGGTTCACGCTATGTTTACATTCGTGGAGTCGGGTTTAGTGACGGCTATTAGGGGCAGATAATTTAGTTTGAAACGATTTTAAACTTAGAGTAAGTATTTAAGAGGAGGCTGCTTTCACGGGGGGGGGGGGTGAGAAAGGGGGGGGGGTAGTGTTTTAAAGCAAATATTTTCAGTGGCAGCATTGGTACTGTCGAATTCACAAATTATGAATTACTGAAAAGTAGAAAAAACAACAATTAAATAGCGGCGTATAATACGCCGCAGGTCGGCTCCTTAAAAATAAAATCTTTCTTAACTAAACTAAAAGACAAGCAGATTTTTAATTTGATAAGCCCATCACGAACTTTGGAAATATCGGTTCTTTATAAGACCGTCTACGTTGGAGTATTCTAAAATAAAATTCCCTCAGTAAATACCACCTAATCAGAAGTTATTTCTTCCTATTTACTTTTCAGTACTGAACTTACACAAATCTATCGTTACCTAATTAGGTGTAAATAAATATAAAAAGTCGCCATTAGAAACGTACACATGTGCGTTGGAAACAAATTAGATCGATAGGAGTGGGTATAGAATTTATTGACAGATAAACACACGCACAAACAGACACACACGACGTACGATGCAGCAAGTGAAAAAATAACTTTTGCAAGAAAATCGAAGTTAGCGTAGATTATTATTAAAACAAGAATTAGCGTAGATTGTTGTTAACAAAAGTTCATCCGTGATGTGATATGAGAAAGCAGTGACAACAGCAGGGCAAAAAAAAAAAACAACATGAAAAGACTATGAATTACCCATAATTCTGTAATCCAAGAACATTAATCTTAACAAACCAGTGAAGGATAAAGAAGGAAGGATCCTACCAAGTGACATAAAACAGAGAGACCGATAGATCCAGCACTCTGAGGAGACTCTAAACCAATTTCTGGCATCAACTATTCCCCATACACTGCAAGCAGTGAGCACTGGTCGCTCTTATGAGACGGCGGTAGAGTGCTAGTCTTCTAACCCGAAAGTCTAGAGTTCGAATCCGGGTTCGTCAGTATAACGTCCATGACTCCACGCAGCTCTGATGGGTACCTTACTCAAGTTAGGGAAAGTAAAGGCGGATTGGCATAGTGCTGACAATACTATCCCTTTGTATACCGAGTTCTATGAAGCAGGTGTATTCTACTTCGCTTGCCCCATAGACCGTCAAGATAAAAAAGGGAACTTTTCTATGCTACAACTTATATTAAAACAGATTTAAAAAGAAGATATCCGACTGGAAACTATGCTGCCTACAAAACAAAGGAGTCTTGTCATAAAAGAGAAACTTGCGAGGGATGTTGATTTTTACTGTTTGAAGTATGTTTGTGTCCGTAGATTATTTCCCCTGAGTTGTTTTGTCTGTGAATGCGGTATTGTGTCAATCTATTAGAATATATATATATATATATATATATATATATATATATATATATATATATATATATATATATATATATATAATAAATGTTCTGTTTACATTTTAGGGATTTCGTAGGTGCTTAACATTTATCATTTAAAAAAAAACATTAAATCTGATATATGTACAACATTCACACGACTTGACAACCATGGAGCTCTTGACTTAAAAAACAAAGGCTAACACTTCAATACCATTCCTTACAGAGAATGTTGGTACTAGATCGACGACAGGTCGCTGGATTAGTCTCCCTTGTGTGTTTAATCTCCCTTGGCGTGAATATTTTCTTCATCAGCTCATTCCAAGGGACAAAATTCTCAACTCTAGAAAATTTAGGTGAGTGGCTTGTTTTTTTTTTCACGGAGATATTGAGATTAAGGAATTATACAGTGTGGCTTAATGAAGGACAGCATTAACAGGGCCTATATAAAATTTATATACATTCATGTATATAATATATATATATATATATATATATATATATATATATATATATATATATATATATATATATATATATATATATATATATATATATTTATATTTATATTTATATATATTTATATATATAGAAGTAAATAAATATATATATATATATATTTATAAATGTGTGTGTGCGTGCGTGTGTTGGTGTGTGTGTGTTTTATAATATCTGATAATTAGCAAACGGTTATGAATATAAGTCAGCTATTATCCGTGTTAAGTATTGGTGTACTTTAACGTGGTTACATTGAAGTTATGAAGGAAGCGTTCTGCTCTATTAAACACCGATTTTCTTTTCTGGAACTCTTGTACTCTACATGGTGGAGAGTGTGTTGTGTTGTGTGTGATGTGGTGTGGTGTTGTGCACAGTGTGTGTGGGTGTGTGACGTGTGTGTGTGTCTAATATAGACATACACAATACTAGATTATAGCTGAATAATGGGTCAGTGAAGTAAAAGTTCATATATACATAAAAATAAATAAATAAATAAATAAATATATAAATATATATGTATGTATATATATATATATATATATATATATATATATATATATATATATATATATATATATATATATATATATATAGTTACTTGCGGGTACTTGTCAAAGGTAAACATTAAATCGATTTAGGAAACTGACAGAATGTTTTTTAAAAGTGAATTTTCGCAATGAAGAATCGCTTTACAGACAAGTATAGACTTGCTTTGTCCAAGAGAACCGGAGAAGTTTGAAAGAGTCGTGTCCCCCTCCCCCGGTTGACCCGCGGGCATGTTCAGCTTCTGCCAATACTCTTGTACATTAAGCTTCCCATTCCCTTAAACACTCTTATAAACCTTCCCATTCCCTTAAACACACTTATACACCTTCCCATTCCCTTAAACACACTTATAAACCTTCCCATTCCCTTAAACACTCTTTACATAAACCTTCCCATTCCCTTAAATACTCTTATACATAAACCTTCCCATTCCCTTAAACACACTTATACACCTTCCCATTCCCTTAAACAATCTTATAAACCTTCCCATTCCCTTAAACACGCTTATACATAAACCTTCCCATTACCTTAAACACACTCCGTTCCCTTAAACACTCTTATACATAAACCTTCACATTCCCTTATAAAACCTTTTACACACTTATAAACCTTCCCATTCCCTTAAACACACTTATACATAAACATTCCTATTACCTTAAACACACTTATACATAAACTTTCCCATTCCCTTAAACACACTTATACATAAACTTTCCCATTCCCTTAAACACACTTATATATAAACTTTCCCATTCCCTTAAACACACTTATACATAAACATTTTCCCATCCCTTAAATACTCATATACATTAACCTTTTCCATTCCCTTAAACAAACTTATTGATAAGCCTTCCCATTTACTTATACATAAACTTTTCCCATTCCCTAATATCTTTTCCTACACTGCTAAAACATTAAGGACTTCTATTTTTAAAAAAAATTAAAATAATTTAAAATCTTAAACATAATTTTCGGGGGAGTTGTCATCACGGCTCCTTTTCCAGGGTGGACATTTTTTGTGTGTGTGTGTCCGCGAAGTGCAACTGTGTGTCATTTGAATGTCTCAACCATGTTTCATGAACAGTAATCGAAGCCCAATATTCAGACAGTTTAAACGTCACGGATCATTAGTTTAAAAGAGTTTAATCAACGAGGCAGTAGGATAGAAAAAGTGCAAGCGCGGAGAGTTTTTATCGTCCCTATTCAGACGGTTCGATCACTCATTGAATTAAGTGGAATCAGGCTTTTAGATACATTCTTTAAGCTTTTACATAAATCACAGTCACTTTCTCTGTATATCTTTCTGTCTGTCTGTGTTTTAGTTACTTGTTACTCTATTTAGACCCACTCTTTCGATGCAGTGATTTAATATCAATATTCCCGATTACAACAAAAATCTCATTTTAAATCTAATTAGATATTTAATTTAGATGGCATTACCAACAAAAATGGTGGCTAGAGATGGCTATACTATTCGTATAAAAGCTATATCTAAACTTATATTAGGGAAAACTGTATCTAAAGAAGGCTAAATCAACAAAAGCTATATATTATATACACAACGTTATATCAGGGATAACTATATCTACAAATGAATAAATCAGCAAAAGCTATATCTACCGATGGCTATATCAACAAAAACTATATATACAGATGGCTATATATATATATATATATATATATATATATATATCGTGGCGTAGGCAGAGGGGTTAGGGGGGGTCATAACCCCGCATAGACCCCTCGGTATATATGTATGTGTATATATATATATATATATATATATATATATATATATATATATATATATATATATATATATATATATATATAAAATATATAAATTATGGGGGGGTGCAAATCGAAAGTTTGTTCCCGGGTAAAAATTTGAACCCCCCCATGAGACAATCCTGGCTACGCTACTATATACATATATATATATATATATATATATATATATATATATATATATATATATATATATATATATATATATATGTATTAAGTTGTAGACAGTTGCGTACGAAAATCGCCTGAATAGTCGTTTGAAAATGGGACGATGAGGTCGAATGGTGGAGCGTTCGACTAATAAAAGTTTTTTCCGACGTCGTCCCTGAGCCCACTCAGCTCTGATGGGTACCTGACTAACATTAAGGAAAGTAAAGGCGGCTGGTCAAATTGCTGACCACACTATCCTTCCATATGCCGAGGTCATAGATACAGGTGAACTCTACTTCGAAAGGGTACTTTACGTTTTATGTCATACGAAATTATTATGAAATCCATCTCCATGTCCAGCTTAAGTTACTTCCTGTAATAGAATAGGGCTGGTAAGTAGGTCACCAACCAGTTCTACGGCTCAATAAAACCTGCTTGACCTACTTACCAGCCCTATTCTATTTAGTACGTCTTAAACCTAGCTAGGTGGTTAATGGGAGTGGAGTGGAGTGAGGTGATGTAATCAGAGGTAGTTTTTAAGCACCCCTGAACCCCACCCCGAATACGTCCACACCCCCCCCCCCTCCACTGCCACCGAATAAATAGATAAAATATAACATAATATGTTGAAAATGTATACTATTTTTTATTGTCCACCCCCTCCTAAATTCAAGCGCACCCCGATGTTTATAATGCCCCCCTCCAACCCACCGGAGAAAAAATCTGAAAGAAACCTTTGTGATAATTAAAGTCAGTATACTCGAACTCGAGTTTTTATTTTTTTAAATGGAACACTCGACCCAACCATTCCATCATGATAATCAACATGAGCTTGATATTTTAAATTTTTAACATTTAACACAAGCTAAGCTGTCATCGAACATCAATCCTCTCAATTCTTTCAATTCGTTTAACCCTTTACCCTCCACGCTCTCTAAAGACCTCCCATAGCTTAACCCGCTGTGGACCGGATGATAATAATTTGATCGTTCATTATAGATCGTTTTATTTTTACTGTGGTAATGATTGTCAAAATCGATAAGCATGCTGTGCAAATTGGTTGTGTACTTGCGATGAATTTGGTTAAAACGCATTGAAAAATAACTAATGGTAAAAAATATAACTTTATTAGGAAGGGTTTACGGTATCTAAATATAGAACTGTAATGACCCGCGACACCTAAATAAGTGACAGGTATTGGCGTCGAAATGTCGCTGGTTTTGGGAGGAAGGTGGAAAATGCACATTTGTAGAAGAATAAATTGTTTCATTAATGTCGTTGTCTGCCATTGATAACATGTCGCCTAGTCAGAGGCGTAGCGGGGGCGGGGCGAGCGGGCGGGCCGCACCTGGTGACACCGTTTTGGGGGTGACACCAAGTCAAAAAAATTGCAAAATTTACAGAAGAAAAATGCTTTTTTTTTGCCAGTTCAATTATTACTTATTTAAAGTTAAATAGTATTTTAAGTACAATACACAATTATTACAGGGGGGTGGGGGTGACACTAAAAGACGTAAACTTGCTAACTTTAGAGAAACCAATGCTACATCTGTTATGATGCATGTTTGACTAGGGCAATGGGTGCGCATGATTGATGGTGCGGCCGTATATTGAACGAGTGAGTGTGTGACGCTGTACGCAAGAAAGTGACGTTTTAGTGTGAGTTCCGTTGTTGCCAGGGAAGAAGATTGAAGTTAGTCTTGTCCGTGTTATGTTAGAGTTAGGTTCTCTAGTTGTAGTATCGTTTGTCCAAGCTGTCCGATGCCCATTATTTATTGTGCAATAAATAGAGTTAGTAACCGATGTCATTCTGTTAAATCATTCGTAGCGTTGATGTCGTCGTGTCCCAAGATATACTGTAGGATAGCTAAACATAATCAAATGGTAGTGATATGGAAAGATGGTATTGGATCAGGTAGTTGTACCCTCTCACTGCATAACTGTGGTACACATATAGAACACAGCAGTTATAACAACATCCAACTGTACTATTAACAGACTATATATAAACATCATTACTATTAAGTAAGCAGTGATTAAAGCTTATACAAATACGCATGCAGCGTATATTTAAATTATAGGACGATACACACAAACACACACTCACACACACATATATATATATATATGTATATATATATATATATATATATATATATATATATATATATATATATATATATATATATATATATATATATATATATAATTTGTTTCTTGGGGAGGGGTTTGACACCCGACCTAGCGACACCACTGATTCTAGTTGCTGTACAATCTTCACTTGACATGACTTGACTTATACCTTTGTGGCCCCTGATGAGCAAAAGGCTTTAGCCGTACCTCTCCACCTGACTCGGTTTTTTGAGCGGCCCTC